CGGAAAAGAAACTTAATTAGATCTCTTGCCACTCGCGTCCGACGCATCTGCAGCTCTGATACCATGGAAGAAGAACTACACTTCCTGAAAGAAATCTTCATACAAAACGGTTATCCATCAAGATTCGTAGACAAAAACATCAAACAGAAAATCCAAAAGCAAGAGACACCATCCGTGCCAAAAAAGATACTTTATATGAACCTTGACTTCAAAGGTGACCTACTCAGTGATGTCCTTAGAAGGAGAATTTCGACTTCTTTAAGAAGAACTTTCTTTGCGGCAACATTGAGAGTAGTCTTCTCTAGTCACCCGCTGATCTGCAGAAGCCCAAAAGACAAGATCCCTTCTATGTGTATATATCAGTTCACCTGTTGCTGTGGAGCCAGGTACATTGGTCGTTCAACGCGTATCCTGTCAAAAAGGGTCAAAGAACACTATCCAGCGTGGCTACAGAAAGGAAGTAATGGCTGCATAAGGAGTGCGATAATCGAACACCTCGTCAACACTGGTCATTCCATCTCAACAAACGCCTCCTTCAAAGTAATCTACAAAGTGAAGAACAACCTTCCAAAGACAGTACGATTCCGTCTTCTTTGCATCGCAGAAGCCCTAGCCATTAAGCTAGAGGAACCAGAACTGTGCATACAAAAGAAAATTATTCAACCACTTCTACTCCCATAGTAACAACTGTGTTGATTTGACTTAACTTTTCTCTGTTTGTTTGATTTGACTTGACTTTTGTTTGTATGCTTATTTTTCTACTTAAAACCCTTGTGTAATTCCGTATATTTTGTTTCCATGTACACCCTGAGTACAACTCTTTCATTAAACTATTCATGTTATTACGCAACTCTTCTTTAACAGTCGATTGTGACAACTCATCACTTTTGTTACTACTCTCTTATATCAACATCCAATTCATCTGAACTTACTAATTGTATTTTCGTTTGACAAATTTAATGTACACACACATACAAAACAACCATATATATTTGCGATTGTACAGCTATGAAAATGAATTCGCTGAAAAGAGACTCTTCGCTGAACTACTTGTCTTTGTCTATTAATGTTCGAATGGGAATTTTTCATGATAAAATATTCATGATTCATTCATGTTCGTCGTCCGTAGGTTGACCGCCAAATAAAAAAACTTGAGTATTTGATTTCAATGAGCATATAAAAATAAACCTATGACATTGATTAACTCCACAACCAGCACCAATCATCATTAGTGGGAGAGATTTGACAGAGATGACTTCCTGCCTTCACTTGTCTGGCTGGGAAGCATGGTTTCAACCACTGGCACATGGCACGAATGAAGATGTCGAAAGCAACCAGATAGAATCGGAAAGGCAAGATACGCCTTCATAAACCTGAAACCAGTTGGGAAATCTTCTGCTCTCACTCGGCTGCATGAAGAACAAGATTCGGATTTCTCAGTGTGAAGTCAGACAGTCAGTCATTTCTTCTATACTGGTCAGAAACTTGGCGTGTACATCACGAGAAGTATTTCCAGCAGGTTAGTACAAACTTATATCCACAGCTGCCGCCTTCGCTGGCTGGCTTCATACTGAATATCAAATAGCCTACCGGCTGGCTGGCCAGAAATAATTAGCAACGAGAAACTCTTCAGTGGAACGAAGCAACAGCCAAAGTCCGAGCATATGTTGAGGTTGCCATCAAATGATATCACGCACAATTTAGGCTATCGGTTGATTGGAATCTGAATGAGAAGGGACGAGTGTGTTTGTGGTGTGAGGGTGACATGGAGGAGATCCTGCTGGGGAGGAGGAGATGATAGATTATAGGCAATCGCTGACTCAGCTGAAGAGGACGGCAGAGAAAAGAAGGAAGTGGAGATGTGTTGTTGAAGCCGTATGTTCCACTCGGAACCCAAAAGAATAATAATCGAATAATAATAATAATCCAAAGATCAATATACCCATTACAGTCCCACAGGAGTGACATCGCGGACAATATTACTGTCAGTCTCTGCAGAACTGAGTGATACTCGTATGAATCTCTTTCGAAACTCGCCAAAGAGTGGCGATATGTACGAAATATGAGTTCGAGACTCTCTATCGCTTGCCTAAAAAGATCTTATAACAGTTTTCAGTCAAAAAATATTGAGCAAAGAATGTCCTTTTCGATAATTTCCTCCTCTGCCTCTACAATTATATATACATATGCTTATACACACAGAATATTCTAGAATAGTCGCCATTACCAATATTGCTGTTTTTAAATACTGTCGATTTGCTAATTAAGATCAATGGAATTACAGATGCATAAATTATAATAATAAGTCTAAAAATGTAATACCAAATAGAATAAGAAATAAAATTAAGGAAATTTCCACAAAAAATTTAGAATAATTAAAATCTTGATGGCCAGTGGGGTAAGGACAGTGTCTGAACCAAAATCTTCTTTTGGATACATACATAAGTTAGGTTTCCTAATGTAGATCCCAACAGTCAGCCTCAGCAGTGTGTAATAGACGAACTCTTAAGGTGAGGTTACGATTACTCAGTATGCTGTAGATGACTTTGAAAGCTGCCTCGTTAACATCATCACTTTTGTGTTCTGTATCCACAAGATTAGGTAGAATACATCTATGAATGGATTTTGTTTGTCCTTTACTTCACCACTGTGCAGGATGATGTTCCGAAATCTGACAATAAAAGACGCGCCTAATTATACGGCCTATGTAACTAACTGATTCACTCCACAGGAGCAGTCAAATTGGTAGATACACGTAGAAGAGGCGAAATTAGGCAGTTAATCTTTAACTCTCGGACGCACTGAATTCTCACTGATGTTATCCCCGAGGAGCTGAAGTTTGTGTGTGCCAAGGCAAACTTCGCAAGAAAACAAATCGAAGAATCACCACATAATACTACTCAAACGGACTCAAATGAAAGTAAAGAAAAGTAGAGCGGTTACATCAAAACTATTTCAGATGGAGAGTAATTTGTTGAAGTGATGTTCATCGTCGTATTTCCGAACATCATCCATCATGGTTAAGTAAGGGACAAACAAGATCTATTCGTAGTTCTATTTTAGCACACCTTGTTGATACTGAGCACAAAGTTGATGTTAATACTGCATTTAAAATTATTTATCGCATTCCTACTAATCTTAACTTTGCTCTACGAGTTCATCTTCTACAGACAGCTGAGGCAATCGGAATCCACCTGAAGAAGCCAAGCCTATGTGTACAGAAGAAATTTGTACAGCCACTTTCCTTACCGTGGCCATCGTTACAAGACAGGACTACGTCGCCCCCCTCCCCCTAAACCTATAAAAATTATAATTGTCCAAATTATTTTATTTTTATTTTGACCATTTCATCTTTATTTACGTGTTATCCTTGTAAAATTAATTTATTCTAACCATTTCTACCTTTTAAATCTGTATTGATTTTCTTCGTTAATTATCAACCCATTGACATTTTGACACTGTTTAATTATTGTTAACAAACATATCGTCACTTGTTTGGTAAACTGTTGTGTATTGTAATAAAAATGCTATACAGAATATATTAGAGTAGAGTCAGAGATGAGGATCTAATTGAGAAGTAAATGTTTCTTCGCTCAATCTTTCTGTTTTCCAAATGTCTAAATGGGGATTTTTTCTATATTGAAGTGATGTTTTCTCAGAAATCATAGAATCATTTCATGAAAATACTAAAATTTTTCTTAGGGGTAGCCATCTTTCAAACAAAATAGCAGTGAGTGGTTTTGTGGCGAATGTTTGACTTGTGAGATTTATTCTGTATTGCTGTCAGAATTGTGACGTTACAATTTAAGATGATGGTATGCCATGACTTTAAGCATCTCATGAAGGATGTGTCAATTAGTGAATTCGCCTCTTCGTTCCATTCGGTTTTCTGCAATCATTTTCGACTGGCTCCATAACTTCCCACCAGTCAGCATTTCCTCCTGACACGATTTTCTCCCTATGTCACTCCTTTAAATGTCTAATTTGTCGCTTTCTGTTCAGCATTCACACAACTGATGAGTGTATGATTTGTCACCTGAATATCTTAGGAGAGTTAATATTAAAACCCATCTCTAACTCCTGCATTATTTTTGTTGTGCCGTAGATTATTGATTCATTTGGTTGCAGAATTCCGGCCTCCTTACTGGTTGTCTGATTCTCAGCGTCATTGAACGAATATAGGGTAGGTGTCGATGAGAGTCTGCAGTAACCTGTTGAAAATACTAATAATGACGAGCACATCGAGTGTTTGAAGCATTTTTTTTTCTTCACGTTCCCCAGTGAAACATAGGGCTTCACGCTAGTGGCTTGAAGTTTCTGTAGCAGTGTTTATTTTACAGGATGTGGCTGCTAGCCTCATGCCAAACCTTTCCTCTTCACCAGCATTATTTCTGGCTTAGCGAGGTAAAGGAGTGCGTTAGCGGCCGGGGATCGAACCCCGGATCATGTGCATGGTTGGCGAGCGTCCTAACCGCTATGCCACAGACGCACAAACTATATTGTAGCAGTTATCTGACTGATAGAAATTGGATCGTCATTTGGGCTCACTGCTATCATCCGGATCACCACACTGATTTCAGATAGATGGGCACCTTGAACAACATAAATAAATGAAGGTTGTTGATAATCCAGGCGTCGGTAGTCTAAGGATAGAATGCTCACCAACCAAGCCGCGCGTATTCCGATTACGACTTTCAGCTCATGCACCTATACAGCCTAGCTTAGTTTCCTGGATAACAGTAAGCCAGGGAAAGGAATACAGTTAGATGTATGAAGCTGTCAAAAACAACATCACCACTGCTTGACGCTTGAATTCCAGTATTCCAATTAGAATGTATGGGAATGGGAAAAACGTATCATTATGCTATCTAGAATCCTGATAACTTCAAATTAAGTCGACTTCAAGTGCATGAGTGACAACATACAGTCAGGGTGTGAATGTCACATATACTGTTAATGAAATAAATTTTATATCAAAAAGATGAAAATGTTCAGCTTACTTGAATTTTTTTGTCTTATCCAATATAACACCGCCTAAAATTGATCCAAAGATACCCGCGACAATCATTGTAAAACCAGCCCATCCAAATAGACTAGAATCCTGTTTTGGATATAAGTGAGGGAGAGGATCGCAGAGGGGGGGGGGCGGTAAGAGGAAAAAGGAAGAAACAGAATCAGTTAAAACCATAGTAAAGTGTGGAATATTCCCATATTATGAATTAAAAGTCAGTTGGAACGAAGAATATTCTTTTCAATAATTTCTCCTCTTCAGGTTCTTACAATTATAAAATGCAATAATAATAATACGGGTTCGAGAACATTTACCAGCTTGGTTCAGCAGGGGGGGCGAAATTAAGTGCATAAAAAGCTCGATCCTGTCACACTTGGTCAATACTGGACATCATATCGATGTCAACACAGCATTCAGGGTTATATATAGCGAATTCCGAAGTCGTTATCACGTACAGTTCGCTTACGTCTCCTACACATAGCTGAAGCTGTTGCAATAAGATCGAATAAACCGGAACTTTGTATCCAAAAGGAACATGTCCAGACGCTGTTCCTACCGTGGCCAAATTTGTATTAACGTTTCTTCTTCTCACCAAGAGTGCTCCTCCCCCTTAACCCTCTTGGTTTTTTTCCTTTGCTTATTATTACAAATAATATTATTACAATCATTATTATTATTATTACTCGTCATCATTTATGCCCTTCATGCAAACATTCTCTCAATACTATCGAATTTTCCATTTATACTATCCGGACTTATTATTAGTGATATTATCTCTTTTCTCAATATATATGCCTCCACCTATTTCATTTCACATATTCGTTATTTCATTATGAACGTCTCATTGCAGTCTTACTATCTCCTGTTTAACACAGACCACTTTGTACTAGCCACTCACCTGACGCCTTCTATAACCTTGAACTGACTTGTCAATTTTCCTACCCAACACTCCACAAATCTATTATGACTAATCACCACCACTGTTGTCTCCCATTTTACAATATTTTGTAATCGATTTCAGCCAACTAGCACGTTTGTCACATAAATACGACTATTTATTTTGACACCCTATAACTAATCTGTTATTCTACATTAAAAAATGTATCCGCCGCATAACTGGCCATTATTATTGTGACGACAACAAATAGTATATTTTATAATTGTGTGAACCTGAAGAGAAATTATTGAAAAGAATATTCTTTGTTCAGATTGAACTTTCATTTATGCTGTAGCAAGCCTGTGTATGCATGCATAAAATGAGCGTTATTACAAAAAAGGATCGTATGATCGGATGATTGTAAAATTTCATCATCATCATTTTCTCACCTTGATCTTGGTTAAAACGCCAGTCAATTAGAATATTTATTTTTCTCTAGCCTAACCTAATTGCCTACCAATCAGAACAGTCTATTTCCACTGCCCTGGGCCAATTTTAATGTGCTTTTTCGCTATAAAATTGTTTCCTAGAAGGCACAGGCCAGTCTCTGTCTTTTGGTATTTACGTGGCTCAGGGAAGCGGAAGGTACCATGGACGAACAGGTGGTGCATTTAGCGCATATCAGGTGAGTTGTACACTGCGTCAGGATCATAATACCCACGCATACGTTCACTGGGGGTCATAACAAATGTCGACGCGAGCATATCAGTTGGCGACAAGTTCACTCCAGCTGGTGACACAGATCATAACATGCGGAAAATGATATCAAAAAGAATCCAGGCAAACAGACTACACACACTACTTCAAATGCATCAGCAGAAAACAAAAACACAGTTAGGAGGACTCTAGAAAATCGCCTTCTTGCTACTTTCAATTATAAGTTACCACGAAATGTTACTTAAAGACACGCATACTTCTCAGTGAGTGCATGATTTAACTTTTATGTGTGGTACTTAAAGATGGACAATTCTACAAGGTGAAAAATAAAAAAAATAATAAAAATTGAACTCACAGTAAAATATTCCAAAAGGATATTGTTTAATAATGTACCCACTGCATAATAAACACCAGTAATTATACCTGAACAAAGAGAGAGAAAACAGTGATATTAAGAGAAGTGAAACACTCTGACTGCAACTGTCATTTAGTAACATAAAAGCATTGAAAACCCTACAAACCAACAATAAATTAATTAATCTTATACTCAACGTAATTCAACAACTAGCTATATGACAGTACCACATATCAGGTTGCCTAGAAAGGAAAACTCAGAGAGGCGTGTGAAGTGAATGCAGAATGGAGTAAGACAAGGCTGGCTGCCTATTATCATCCACGATGATATTCTATATTGTGGTAGACTGGATTATGCGTCAGACTGACCACCGGGAGTGAGCAGGCAGGGATACGCTGCACTGACGGATAAGATGACTCCATCTGGGAAGATCTGGATTTTGCGTGTGGATGACTTATGTCATCTAATGTCACACGAGCTCGAAGAGTTGCAGGTAGACAAAAAACCAAAAAACTGGCTGAAAAGGTTGGCTGGCTGGCAGCAAAGACAGGTGGGATTCTAGTGAACATTGAGAAGGTGGAGGCGGATGTGATGAAGATAACCAACCAACAGCAATGGCGACAACAATCAGCATCAATCACCATCAGTGGGATGGCACGGATGAAGAAGTCGAAAGCAGATAGCCAGAATCGGAAAGTCAAGATACGCCTTCATCAACCTGAGACCAGTTTGCAAATTTTCTGCACTGACTCAGCTGCATGAAGAACAAGATTCGGATTTTCGATTCAAATGTGAAATCAGTCAGTCAGTTCTTCTATACGGGTCAGAAACGTGAATTGCGCGTATGTCACGAAAAGCATTTTCAAAAGCCAATAACAGACTTTTATCAACAGCTTCCATCTTCACTGGCTGGCTGGCTGGCTCCATACTGAAGATCAAATAGCTGGCCAGTTACAATTAGCAACAAGAAATTCTGCAGTGAAACAAACCAATAGGCGAGAGCCGAACACTCAACAAATGTGTAGGAGAAAGCCGAGAGGGATCAGTTGAACGTACGTTGAGGATGTCGTCGAATGACATCGCGCGCACTGTAGGTCATTGCTCGAGTGGAATACAAATGAGAAGTGAGAAGTGGGTGGTCAGTGCGAGAATGACATGGAAGAGATCATGGCAAGGAGGAGGATGAGATGATAGATTATGGGCAGTCGTGGAGCCAGCCAGCTGTAGAGGACAACAGAAAATAGAAGAAAGTGTAGATGTTTTGTTGAAGCTGTATGTTCTAGTTAAAGCCCAAATAAGTAATAATAATACTCACTAGTGAGTGACTATAGGATCACGTTGCCTGGAGTTCTAGTCAGAAGTAATAACCAGTGGGCCCCTTCAAGTTAGGTATGAGGAGAAATACTAAAGGATGACATTGGCTGAATGTATAATAATAATAATAATTTGCTTTATTCCAGAAACAGTACTAGTGGTACAGTGTGGAATTTTCAGCACATATCTACAATATTTGCATCTAATTTTATCTAACGTTTTAAAGGAGTATTTTCAAAAAATAAATAAATATAAAGACAACAACAGCAAAAAAACAAACACAAAAAACACAAAATAATTTTTAAAAAATGCGAAAAAATATCAAGAAGTAGAAAGGAAAATAAACAGCACATAATAATATCTCAGTGTTGGGTAGTGGAAGCTATGGTGTGATTTTGGATGGTGACAGTAAAGCTATAATCATACAAGAAGTTATGAAATGATATTTAAGAATGTTTATCGCCAATAATGATCAGTTAATTTGGTTGAAACAACTCTAAACAATCATAAAATAACATTTCAGGGTTGTTTTTTTTATTTTCAGGTCTAATGAAGTGTTTGTAGTGGTAGTGTGAGTAATCCTGCATAATACAAAATTTTTAGGTGGTGATAATGGCGTTCACAACCAATGATTGTCGGTTAATATTCCCGAAAAAAATAAAAAATAAGAAAAAAACAACCACAAAAACTAACAATTACATGATGGTTAATGACAGGACAATTTTGTACTACTGATAGTGCTAATATAGTCGGAACCAGTAGATACACAAAAGAAGGAATACAGTAGAGTACAAGAAGTAGGCCAATGTTAATTATTTAGGTAGCTAAGTATGTGCATGTGGGTGTGTGTGGCAAGTTGTCAGATGTGAGATTTCGTGGGCCATTGGATTCCTTCCCAGTGACTGGCCTTCTAACCTCAATTACGTGAAATCAATTCCTCGGGAGTGTGTGCCTAGTAGGACATAACATCTGTCTTCAATAGCTCTCTAATCAATATCATTTCCTGGTGTAACATGAAATCAATCAAATACCGCCAAACAAACACTTGGAATTTAATTTTAATAGTCACTAGTGAGTCACTTAAGGATCAAGTCGTCTGAATTCCTAGGAGGCACTTATAACTCCTGGCGTCCACGAAGTTGGCTATGAGAAGAGATACCCATTGTTGACATTGGTTAGTAAAGAGGCGACACATCACCACTCGAAAGAATGAAGATATCATCCGGCAGTGGACTCTTTTCTGGTGGTCTAATGGCCAAAGGCTCGCTACATAATTTCAAGGTGCTGGGTAAAATCTTTAGTGTTCAACTGTGGATACTTACTGGTGGGGACTCCCCAAGTTTTTGATGAAAAAGTTATACATTACATCAGTTAATGATCCAAAGTAAAATATTTAAATTATTCCTTGAATTTTATGATACGGTTAGAGAATTAACCGTCTTTGGCAAATTTATAAAACCACAAAAAAAAATCACAAAACCAATTAGTTCATAAGGCAAAACACAGTGATATTTTGTTCAGTGAATGAAAATATCTCTTTTCAACAACTGTATTTTCAAGTTAACTGTACAGTCGTATTTATATTACGCAAAAAGAAGGCATTAATAAGTGGCACTAGAAATTGCTCAGTCAATATTGCATATATGATAAGAATAAAGATAATTCAAAGGATCTATTAACGCTGCGACGTAGAGTTGAAGCGGATAATTTACAAAACTTTTAAAGATTATTAAACGTAGGTGAACTGGTAAAGAGATTTTAAAATTTTAGGTCAAGTGTTGTCCAAAAAGTGAATAGTACTATGATGATAAGAATGAAGACGGCGAAGATGAAGTGAAGTGGAGTGAATTCAAGTGGTAAAATAAAAATAAAATAAAAGAACATAACAAGGTAAAGAAAGGGGTTTAACAAAACGTTCCTCAACAAATAGTTTAGGTTTCTGTATGATAGAGAAGATTTGTAGCTCAGGTGGATGATTTTGATATGGTTGTGTTCTCTGAGCTGGACAGTTAATTTGCGAAGCTTTCATCGCCCTACTAGGCGACATCTTCAGCGCATACTTCAATTTGAAGTGAGCTTTCAGATTTCTCCACGAGTTTATTAGTCATCTCTCCCGGTGGGTGACCTTGGACGTGATCTCAGAAATCACTACAAGACTCTTCAAACCTTTAGGAATTGACATCGTACACAAACCAACAAAGTCACTTCACTCAATTCTATGTCAACCAAAAGACTCAACAGCGAAGGAAGATAAAACCAACATCATCTACAAAATAGATTGTATCAACTGCGAAAAACACTACATTGGCCAAAGTGGACGTCCCCTTCGTCTTCGTATCAACGAACATAAGCTAGCTGTCAAAAGACATGATATCCACTCCCTCATATCATATACAAAAAGGACATCAGTTCGACTGGGACAACGTTCAAATATTAGAGAGAGGAAACAACAAGAATGCTACAGAATTTTTAGAAGCTTGGCATTCCAGTGAATCATCAATCAATAGACACATCGAGATGGACAAAATTTATCAACCGATAAGAAAGAAACCTCACACACAAAGGGTCAAAGTTCAAGTCAAAGAAACAATGATTTACAATACAAATAGCCTAGAAGGTGTGAAAACACACAAAAAAACCATCACGTCCAAGGTCACCCACCAGGAGAGATGATTAATAAACTCGTGGAGAAATCTGAAAGCTCACTTCAAATTGAAGTATGCGCTGAAGATGTCGCCTAGTAGGGCGATGAAAGCTTCGCAAATTAACTGTCCAGCTCAGAGAACACAACCATATCAAAATTAGGTTTCTGTCCATGTATAGCTAGAGCTTCGGCTATGCATAAGTGGAGGAAACGTTAGTTTTTGGAGTGATTGGATTTGGTTCTGTAAATAACTTTAATGGATAAATCACGTGGAACTGAATGACCTGACTCCAAAAGATGTTCACAGATTGAAGACTTTGTCATCCTTTGCTCACCTTTCACTAACCAAACCGGGTAGTGTTCAGCTACGTGCTTACAACGTTCAATGTAATCAGCTCCAAACAAGCATGTGAATGAGTATATGCACACAGAGGTGGACATAAGCGGTAGTTATTCCTAAACGCATTGTCGAATCATGTTTCGGCTGGTAAATACTAAATCTAAGTCAGCTGCATAAAAACACCATCTAATACATTTAGATAAACAACTTTTAATGACTTCAGCGATAATGTCACCTTTGGACGCCAAACTCATAAATAGTGTCTTCTCTTTGCACTGTGATTTGGCTGGGGACAGTTTTTTTGTTGATGTTCCTGTCTATAAACCTTCTAGGATATCCATTTTTTAAGAGAGTTGTGCGATGGCTTTCTAGTTCCATGTCGACCATATCTATAGAGCAAATTTTCCGAATTCCTGAGCATAGAGACCGGATAAGACGTCTCTTCCTACCTAGAGGTGCTCAACTGTTAAAGTTAGTGTTCTGCCCCGTAAATATTAGCTTTCGATAACGTGCCATCCTCTCTTGTATCTAGCATCAAATCTAAGAAGTGAAATGCGGAATTCTATCCTTCTTCGATAGTGAAAAGCATAGATGAGTGAGAAGCATTAAATTTTTTAAGAAGCTCGATAGTTGAACAACTTAAAGAAGTCTTGTTGGAAGCGATTTAATCACTGACGTCGGCAGGAGAAACAGTGAAGACAGGACTTAAAGTGAAACATGAGAAGACAAAGATAATGAAGATTCATATCCAACAAATACTAATCACTTTC